CGCTTTTTCCTCCGTGTCGCGGCCACCCCCTCTCCCTCCCCCTCCCTCTCATCCTGCTCACGACGTTTCCCTCCTTCACGCAACGTTTCCACAACGTTTCGCCGTGCCTTTTTCCGCGCGAACATCTCTCCGCGCGAGGCGGAATCGACCTGAGGCGTGCGATTTAAATTGGGAAACCGTGCCGTTGTTGCACGCCCCGTTCCAACAACACCCGTTTCGCGAGAGAGAGAGAGAGAGAGAGAGAGCGATTAAAAATATATAGTGGAGAGGGTGGAGAGAGTAAGAGGATCGTCGAGGTTAAGGGGGCGAGACGGGATTAAAGTTGAGAAAGAAAGGGAGAACTGGATTATCCCCACGTGGCTGATAACTTCTTCCCGCCCTTTTCGCTGAAGAAATTGTTGATTTCCGGATTATCCGTTAATTCTCCGGCAAAGTGAATCTAATAGTAGTACGTTCTCTGATAATCTCGTGATACTCTGGATATATTTTGAATCGCGAACGTGTACACGGGATATTAATTATTGCGCTCGTAATAAAACACTAAAATCAAAGGAAGGATCGATTCTAAAGAGACCGAAAAGGGATACGCGACAAATTTTTCTTTTTTCTTTTTCTTTTTGAATAATACACAATTTTTGTACATAATTTCGTTGCTTAGTTTCGTACGTCCGTTACAAAATAGAGACTTGAAGCAAACACTTCCTCTGTGTATTCTTCCCTTTTTTTCGAAAATACAATTGTGCGAAAAGTAAAGTTGACGCTCGATAACGCGACTGATCAGGGATTTATTTCGTCTACTTGAAACTCGTCCGGCCACTCGATCGCCGATACGATCTACTCTCTCGTGCCACTCTTCTCGCGTACGTTACACATGTTCAAACTTGTCTCCACTTTCCATAAAATCGTGAAAATAACGGAGAGGAAGAATACTACGTCGCTGTGTTTCCCAATTTTCTCGCGTGTCGGATGATTGCGCCTATGGTTCACCGGGGTGTATCGTTGCTCGCCTCGTATGCTCACGCGACGTGATCATCGTTTAACATCGTGGTGATTTGATTTCCAGCTGTCAAAGCGCCGGATATTGGTGAACGAACGAGTGGGTACCGCTTGGGGCCCCCATAGCGAGGGCCCCCAACCGGAACAGGCCGCCGAAAGGCGGTCCATCTATCATCAGGTGAGTGCCCCCCCTAATTCTAATTTCTCTAAACTCGTCGTAATTCACGCTTGTTCTTCCTCGCGCTCGTGACCGATCCACAGTTTCCCAATGATTGTGAATTAAAAATGAGGGGAAGGAGGGGATGAAAAAACATTTATTTGACTAAAATGAAGAATTTTACCCGACTAAAATGAAAAATTTTTTAAATGGAGTCTATATATATCCGACGAATATCAGATTCAACGATATTGCTCGAATTCTCATCCCCTCCGATGATCGATGATGAGAAAATTATCGAGATAATTGATGAACCCTCGCCTAATCTCGCGTTTAGATCCTTCCTCAATCGAAGAAACGTTGGAAAGTTTGATAATGATGTACCAGCTGGCTTCTTTCGTCGACGACTTTTTTATTAAGACTGGCGAACGAATGAATCCTATCGATCTTCGTCCAAGATAGGCTTGGAAGGTATATTAAATTTTCGAGTCATTATTTCCCTACGCGTTTACTCTTCTTTCTTCCCTTCGTGTTTGAGAATTTTTACGGAAAGGATGCGAGAATGTTTCGATCGGATGCGCGCGATTTATCTTGAAATATATCGTTAAAAGTTGGGCTCGAGTGAACACGAAGCCGGTCAGCTGATTGGAAATGGCGGGCATCGGTTTTCGGGAAAAAAAAAAACATTATCGGAAAGTGTCATAAAATAGAAAAAGGCGAAAACGTGGTGTTTTTCATACGGATTCGATTATCTCATGTTCAGGAAATTTGCGTTCTTTCAAACGTGGCGGCCGATAAATCCGTTTAAAACCGAGGTTGACAATATTTTCCACGCGTTTAAGCGAACCGTGCACCATTCTGTTCGATGCTTTTTCCGCTGAAATAACATTTCACCCCCAAGTTCCGACTCGCTTGATTAATCTGCACGTTACAACCACCGCCCCCGCAATTTGAGAAATCATCGTACAGTTACAAGTTTCGAGCGTGAATATCGATTTTCGATACTATTGCCACGCTTGCACAGCTTTCTTTGTTTCGAGTTTTCGCTCGACGAGAGTGGAAAGCGAGACGACATTATTTATTTAAAAGACGCGCGTCGTTGACGATTATCAAGATTCTTCTTTCTTGATATCAACTTTGAATTTCGAAAAATTTTAAAAATTTTCGCCCCCCAAAATTGAAGGAAACTACGGACAAAATACAGAGTTACGGTTTTCTAATTCCAAATCGAGACAAGTATATAATATTTTCGTTTTCTTTCATTTATCAGGACGGCTATTCGATAGCAGGAAACGTGCTAATTAATTTTCTTTCGTTCCGTAATCTTCTTCTTCTTCTTCTTTCTCTTTTCGAAACGAGAAGCTCGGCGAAACGAAATAGCTCTAATTACTTCTTTTCATAGCAGGGTCGTACATTTAAATCCCTTCATCGCGAAAAACTGTAATTTTCAGCGAACTTGCTACGTAACTTGACACCCGTGAAAAAAGTCCAACCAAGGTGTACCAAAAAATTGATTTTCACGGTGGTGCTCGTCGCTTAATGAATCAACGAGTTTCGAGCGCAGTTTCGAGCGTAGTAGTGGAGAAAAAACTTTGGCTGGGTCGCCAAGTTAGCGGAACAATTTTTGTTTTGCCATCGGGGCGTAAACGTAAAAAGAAGTAAAGGGAATAAAGAGGAGAAGGAAAGGAGGAAGCGAGAAGGAGGGAGAAAACTATAGAAGGAAAAAAAAAAACTATGGAGAAATTTATGGTTTTCGAGAGTTGAATTTGAAAGTTGCTATTAACGAAACAGCTGACAAAAAAAAAAAAGAAAAAAGCGAAAGGTTGCGTTTCGAGCAAACTTATCCCTCCCCCAAATTAGCGCCGTTTAAACGTGCCACCGTTTCCCATTTTACTAATTAATTCTCCCTTTTTTCTTTTTCTCGGTTCAACCCCTCGTTTCTACCCTGGATTACCCACCCCTGATTCGTCCCTTCTTCTTACACGGAAGAAAAAAAGAAAAGGAATGAAAGAAAAATTTAAAGACAATCGTCCCAACCGATTTAAACTTATTTGCTCGAACGCTTAACGTCGATCGATCCGATGGAAAAACTGGCTTCGTTTCCGTCGCGGGAAATTCAGCAGAGCGTACAGGGTATAAATTCACCGAGAGGGTGTTTCAAAGACAAACGTCATCCGGCCGAGGGGAATCTACGATTCGAATTTAAACATTCGTTACACGTGTACGTACATTCGTTACCCCGTGACCCAGTCCGCTTTATATAAAGCCAATCCCCGTTCCTCGATAAGAATGAACGTTCCGAACTGTTGATAATCGAACCGATCCATCAAAAGTCACGTATGATCGGTGTACCGGCGAAAATAAATTCCTCCTGCGTTTGAATTATCCTTCGAATTAAGTTTCCACGCGCCACCGATCCTCCGATATCACCCTCCTCCCGCTCCCCATTTCGTTTCCTTTTCCCTTTTCCACGAGGGAAATTGCACCCTTCCATGAATTATTATTTTCCACGAATACCGATCACGCTTATATCATCGATTTTCGTATCAAAGTTTTTAATCGGCTGCTGTCCATTAGAAGACGCTTACTTATCCGACGATTTAAACAAATTTTTCGTTCAACGAAATGATCCGTTTTAAGACACTTAGTGTAATTCCAAATATATTCGACGATATATTTGATCAATCAAAAGGATATTGATGTATCGCTTGATTAAATTTCCAGCTCCGTTAATTCCCTCTAAGAATTCGAGTTTATTACGTTCAATTTATTACGTTGAAATATTAACAAAGGATAATGGACGTTCGTCAAATGTTACGTCGCATTTCGATTTCTTGGTTGTAAATCATCCTTCCCTCCCACTTCCACCCGACAAAAAAGAGGGGGATGGCGGAGCAAAAGTCGATTCGAGGAAGAAAAATAGATTCCTTATATTCGGTGCTACGGACGGTGGACATGTGCGACGCATTCGTACAGATGAAAATCCATTTTTCATCAAGGAAAACACTCCGGTTCCGATGAATCTTCGACGACTTCCTCTCCCGACCATAATATTTCCGTGGGACCGCGTGAAAAATTCCTTTTCCATTTAATTTTCTTGCTCTTGGATCGAAACGAAAACTTACGAAACTTGGAAATATAATCACTTTGAATATTAATTCACGTTCGCGTTCGATAGAAGCGTGCGTATTTTCATAAATCTCTTTACGAAGGGGAGACGAGCTTGGACGAGAAATAATTTCGAGCGTTTCCTTTTGATCGTCGTCCTCGTCATCATCATCAGAGACAAGTATGTGTTCGATAAATCGAATTCCTCCTTTGTTAAATCAAATTTCGTCTCATTTAAATTGTTAAAGAATTTGAGAAATTCGTTTAACAAACGAAACCTTCCCCGTCGAAATCTTTATTCTCGTGTCTCGTGTCGGCTTTTACTCGAGCCGAGGATTCTTTTTCCGACGACAGGTTCGATCGTCCATCTCTTCTCGGCTCTATCCTACCCAATTTGTGAGATTTTTCAACCGATCGAGAGAATCGCGAAGATGAAAAGAAAGCCGACGCGGTAATAAATCCACAGGGAAGAACGCACGAGACGAGAGGTCACGAAAAAATCGGTCAGATTTCAAATTTTCTTCGTTCCTTTTACGCTCTCTCTCTCCGGGAGAGAGAACGTGCTGTTTCGTTCGCGATGGAAATCTGAATACTGAAAGCGACTACGCCGTTAGAATCGCGTAAATATTATGACTTTCGTTTCAAAGGAAGGAGGGGATAATAGAATTATATCTAAATCGGTGTTGATAAACAGAGCTCGATCGAGTGAGATTAATAATATTTCGCGTAATATTCGATAATGTATTGTTATGGATTTAATTTAATAACACGACTCGTTCGACGACGAGCGAAATAGAAATTTCCTCGTCTGTTATGAATTTAAAAATCTATTATCAATTTCAATGAAATTGATAATATGATTTTTTCGCGTACGTACGCGAACAATTTTTTAGGTCAAAAAACGGGACCCAATTATGCGACCGAAATAGAAAAAAACGATGATTTTTTAGCAATCTTTCTTTTTTTCTTTTTTTTTTATTTTTTTTTTTTCTTCTCTTTAATGACGCAATCATCGATACTCGAAATTGCACGAGCCGAACGTGCCTCTCGTTCCCTCACTATCGACACGTTGCCCTTATCATTCTTCTCTATTTAATCACTCGGTTTCGTATTCATTGTTCGTTTGTATCCGTTTAATTAACTCGATGCATTTCGTTCTCTCTATATCATGAATGAAAATTAATTATTTCAATCGAAGAAATAATTAAACGTAATCACTTGTGTACCGTTCCCGATCGATAAATAAATTGGCACGATACAACGTTAAAAAAACAACGATGCAACGCGGTAATTACGGTATGATGTCTGTGTTAAAAGCAAAAGAAGGGAGGAAAAAAAAAAAAAAAGAAGAATGAAAAAGCTGAAATGAAAACGTATTCGGCAAAAGAAAAGCCAAATATTCGTTTCTAAATAATATCTCGGCTTGGATTATCCAGATTTTTCTGCGAGATGAAAAGTTGTACGTACTTTCTTTCTCCCGCGATATTTATTACGTGGCTGGCTACACCTCGTTAGTCCACGAGGTGCACCCTTTTCAGCCCAGTTCCAACCCCTCCCCCGAAACGATGCTTTTGCGGTGCTCTCACGCGCGTGCGATGCCGAGAGAAGAGGAGAGGAGGAAAAGAAGAGGGGAGGGAAGAAGGGACAAGAAGCAAAGAGCGTTAAAAGAGCATTAAAAAGGGCGAATGCTGCGAGAGCTTATCCTCTCGTGTCCACCTTCGTAGCGCGTGGAGTGATCCAATTTTGGGCGGGCTGGCCGATTTAAAACCAGCCCTGTATCCGTTATCCGTTTGGGCACAGATTTAGAATCGCGAACGTGTTGCGCCAATTGGCTTTCGCGCAATGGGACTCCTGTGACTCGCCTCCAATTTAAATTTTAAAAGAATTCGACCGTTGTTGAAAAATTTAAATTC